ACACACACACACACACACACATATATATATATATAAGGTTCCTACTTCCGTTGTGATACCCCCTCAGAAACCCAACAAGGGGTTGCTATGAGTTGGATCTGACTCAATGGCAGTGAGTTTCTATTTAGGTATATTTTCATTTTATAGGGGAAAAAAAAAGAGCTTCAAAGGAATTAAGCAATATTGTCAAGTAACTTGACATTGATCCCAAGTCCTATCACTTAAAGTTCAGGGATCTTTGCTAAGAAGAAACGTTTTACAATATTAGACAGAAAAAGTTTAACCACCTTCCCCACTCTCCAAATGCCACTGAAAAGCACTAAGTGTAATGCTTCTCTTACCAATTACTATTATCCACTGCATCTCCAAATCCTGGGGTATCAACTATTGTGAGCAGTAACTGAACTCCACCTTCTTTGATTAAAACTTTGGATTGTTCCACCTGTAAGAATCATTGGTACAAATATTAATGTTGTGTATTATACTAGTGGTTTCCAATAAAGGGTAAGAGGTAGAGACACAGGTATTTATCAAAACCAATCAGGAAGCTTTTTCTAAATTAAATCTACCCACCTCCACATTTCCTTTAAAATCTATGTAATGTTGACATAAGAAGTCTTGGGTACTTTAGAGAAAAGCATATATGTAAATAGTTTGCCAAGCTCCTAGCAAACTCATACTAGGTTTATGGCTTATATTTGATATAGTGAAGGAAACAAGAGCTGACAAAACAGTAATAATTACTAAAGCCATAAAATACAGAACCTAAATTCACAGAACACAAATTAGTTTGAATGATTCCATGATTGATAAAATCACGTTTGACTGATCAGACAGGCATATTCAACATTTATACTAAATGTTTTCCTGGACTAACTACATGTAGTTTGGTCCAAATCAATTACTCAAGTGAACTTATCACCATTCCCAAATCCTTCTCAATATGGCTCCAATTATTAACACTTGTGTTTATGTTGTGGCTAAGATCCAATTCTCTTCTCAAATGTTCTGGCCAGTACAATCACCAAAAGTGTAAGGCAATAAGAAAAATGTATTCTGATATCTCTATTAACATTGTTTAAGAGTTTCACTTCTATTTAGAATTTTTTAAAAAACTTGTGAGTGAGAGTATTGGATTTAAAAACAACAATAACAACAACTTCAACCAAGTATGTTGATTAACAGAGAGTTGGAAAGCAAAAGTGACTAATTTCTGGGTAGAAAATTAAAGGTTTGGTTCAACATTAGACATTACAGAAGTGGTGATGTCTTTCCATTTCTCTTTGGCACAAAGTATATACTGAGGAGTTGAGACTAACAACTGTTGGTACCCTCTGATAGCAATGTCCAAATTCTGCAATGATCGAAATTGTACTATCAGCACATTTGAAATGGGGCTAGTGAGAATGAGGAGCTGAATTTTTAATTTAATTTAAAGTAGTTTAAGTTAGACTTGAATAGCCAAATGTGGCTAGTGGTTACAAAATTGGACAGTGAAAGTCTATAGCAAGAGTTTGTTAGGAGAATTATATTATCAAGATGAAAACTCTGTCAACCTTAAAATTAAAAAAAAAATATTGCCAGATTAAGAAATTCACCTCCATGGAGAGCTTCTTATCTTTTAAACAAATAAGAGGCAATTATCTTTTAGATTAATATTCTTCAAACTGCTTTGAATCAGATATAAACCATCAGTGAAAATTCTAAGGAATCCAAATAATGTCTATTTAGCTATTGAATATATACAACTGACAATCTGATTATTAAATATTAATATGTCTTGATTTCTCTGGATTTAAAAAATAAGTATTAATAAATAATATTTTCTAATCATCTTGAGGGGAGCTCTGGAAGCATAGTGGCTAAAGGCACTTGACTGCTAACCAGAAGGCTGGCAGTTCACACCCACCAGCCACTCCTCGGAAGGAAGATGGGGCAATCTACTTCTGTAGTGATACTGCCTCGGAAACCCAAGGAGGGGTTGCTATGAGTCGAGTCTGACTTGACGGCACATAACAACAATAACAAATCATCTTGAGTATCAGAAATGGCTGAACATCACTTGGGAGAACACTGTTTCATATCATGTAACTAACACAGCAAGGAGCTCTGGTGGCACAGTGCATAAGGCATCTGGCTGCTAATCAGAAGGTCAGCAGTTCAAACCTACCAGCTGCTCCATGGCAGGAAGATAAGGCAATATCCTTCTTTAAAGATTCACAGCCTTAAAATCTCAATAGGGGATTGCTATGAGTTGGAATTGACTTAATAACTGTGGGTTAACTAAGGTAGCCCAGCTTGTCTGGTACCAGGCAACCTTAGTAATATGAGAAGGTAAACTGCCTCAAGAAGAAATAGTCAGACTCATCAGTGTCAGATTATCAAAACTAAAACATTTTTAATTAATGCTATCTCTCTGGCTTAGAAAGTTCACATTTTATTTATCTGGTAGTCCTCTAGTCAAAGGACAATCAGGTCAAATCTAACATATAAATATATCTTGAATTCATCCCTATCACCTTCATACATATGATCACTCATTTACTGTAACTATCACTGATGCAGAAACATCCCAAGTAATCTCACTATCCCTTTACCTAACAAGTCTTTTAAATGACATACTATTGTATATTAGAAATTGATGTAAAGATATAATTGCTCAACATGAATCATCTCCCGATTCTTCTTGTTTAAATTAAAATAAAATTCAGTTCAACAAGCTAATTACTTACTGACTTGGTAAGAAAAACAAAGACTTATATTTTATATCCCTCTAGAATTTATAAAGCTTCTTTTCCTCACTGGCCTATTGAATTCTGTGTATCCAAAAGAACCCAAAAACCTAATGCTATCAAATTGATTCCCACTCATAGTGACCCTACAGGACAGAGGAGGACTGCCCCATAGGGTTTCCAAGGCTGTAAATCTTTACAGAAGCAGACTGCTTCATCTTTCTCCCATGGAACAGCTAATGGGTTTAAACTGCCAACCTTTTGGTTAGTAGCCGAATGCTTTAACAATTATGCCACCAGTGCTCCTTTCTGTGTCTCCATACATGGTCAAATACAAAGAAGTCGGCAACATATGGAAGAGATCCAGAAAACATAACTGTAAACTACTGCCATTCACAAGATCCAACTGTATCCTATCATCTGGTTTTCAAGTATCCTCATGGGATCCATGGAAAACAAATGAGTTCAAGTTCAGGAATTTTAAATTTTTCTTAACAAATCTATTCCAAATGGCTATTTTCCCATGCACTTTACTTTAGCAGGTCACATCAGCATATTTTATGGCATCATTCAGAGTTCTGTAAAATTAAATGCATAATTTAATAATGAAGGAATGAATCAAGAGGATTTTTAAACTGTTTCTCCCTGAAAAATAAACAAAACTGCAGTTCATTAAATTTTTTTATTATTAATCTACTGAGGCTTCTTTTGGCTTCCTAAAATCCAGAAATCCAAGGCATTCATTTTTCTACTACTGTTCAGTTTCTCAATCTAAAAATAATATTAAAGTTTCCCTCTATAACAAATGGGCTTTATATTATACAGCTGCATATACATTAAACTTATGTTCAAGGGCTATTTTCTTAAATAAAATTAGGTACCTCAAAGTTTGTATTACCTCAATATAAAATGATACTGTACTGTTTTACTTAACTATTTAAAATTTTGAGGAGAAGACTAAAATTTCCTATTAAGAACTCACTACTACCTATACTTCCTCAAGAAGTGGCATTACAACGAAAGCTCTGAAGAGACTTAACAGCCTGTGATACTCTGCTTAGCTCAAACACAAGAACGACCTAATTCAGCTATTTAATGGTTTAAAAGATAAGTATCATTTTAACTGCTTCATCAATATTCTACAAAAAATCCAAAAAGAGTCAATGACAATGATTTTATCTAAAGAATACTTGCTCCTCATCAAGATACAGAACTAGTTTACTGAGATAAAAGTTGATCCAAAGATTCCAATTTCATCCTCCATACTCTCTGAACCTCATTTCCCATTTCCTTTGAGACTTCAAGTCCCTTGCCCCTTTCATTTTTTATTAGCAACTCCCTCCCTCAAACCCTTTATTTCTTTACCTCCAGCTCAGATCTCATTCTAAATTAACCACACTACAGGCATCATTGGGAGCTCTGGTAGCA